CGCGTGAGCTGTCTCTGTTCCCCCTCTTATCCCTGGGAATGGGTGAGTCTCTACGCCTATATCTTTCTTCGGATGTGTGTCTTTCCGTCTGCTTGTGCCTATGCTCTGGCCTGCCTCTCTCCCTATAGCTCTTGGGGCAGTCCCTCTTGATGTGTCCCCTTGACCCGCAGATGTAGCACTCTGGTGTGTTGTGTTGTTTCTCTTGGAAGACTACCCTCTTCTCACTCTTATGTTCTCTGGGAGGGCCGGGGCGGCTCCTCCTCAGATTGTCTTCGGCTATGAGCTTGTTGGATAGCTTCTCTACTGATAACATTCCTAGGCTGATGGTGTCTAAATGTGTTAAGAAGCTATTCCATGAATAATCTAAAGAGTTGATTATTACGCTTTTCATTATCTGGTCGGAAATAACTTCTCCCCTAAGGTGCAGCTCTGCCCTGGTACCGCTCAAGGACACTAGGTGTTCACTCATGGGGGTCCCTGGCTTGAGCCTGGCGGAAAAGAAATCCTTGGAAATTTGGGTGGTGGTGGACACACTCTCACTGTAAAACAACCCAAACATTTTTCCTATAATTTCTGACACGGTTAGGTTATGGCCTATACAGTGGTAAATTGTGGGGGATATACTGGCAATTAAGAGGTAGAACGCCTTATGGTGCATGCAATCCAGTTCTAAAGTCCATGGTCTCTCTGGGGGGTCATTAATAAAATGAGACATATTTTCTTTCAGGAAAATAACCTGGAGCTGCTGTGACCACTCTAGGATATTACCCCCATCCATCCTCAACTTGGGAAAGTCAACGGGTAAGTTTCCAGTACCACTAGTAAAATTACTTACTGCTGGCTGCTGTCCATGGTTTCTTATGTGCCTGTAGGAACAGTAAGGCATGGGCACGCTTGGCGGCAATTTAAAAGTCCCGCTTTGTAATTTTTTTCTTTTTTCTTCCTCTAGGCGGAAGAGCGCATGCGCGAAGTCCATTTCAGCTCCGCCGTCGTCGAGGAAGGACCTGTTTGCCGTAGCTCCGCTGTAGAGGCCTCTGCCGGTCGGGTAGGCCTCGGCTTCGGCCTTGGGGGTCCAGGTGTGCTCCGGAAGTCGTCGTCCAGCGGCTGCATCTCCGGAGCGAAGATCCTGGCGGCGTTGGGGCTCCGGCGACGGCTGTAAGTAGCTGCCCCAATCCACGCGGTCCGGGGTGTGCGGCCTGGGCGATCGGAGGCGCGGTGTCCCTGGGGTGCGTAGGTGGGCTGGCGAGCAGTCACGGGCGTCGGTGGCTCTCGGGTGGGCGCTTCGTCGCCCCTCTCCCCGTCTTCCCTTTTGTTTTGGCCCCTCCGGCCTCTCCTTAGTGATTTTGAGGCCTGGGCCGAAGGCGGCGGCAAGGGTCTTCATGGCCCTATCCACTTGCCGCTCGCTGGGGGTGTACCAGGGGTCGGAGTCGGATTCGGTCCCCTCCCCCTGGTCACTTTCATCGTGGGTCATGGTCCGGCATTTTTCGCGCGCCGGCCATTTTGAATTCTGTTCATCGATTGGTTGGCGGTCGGCCATCTTGTCCGACCACGTGGACAAAGATGGCCGCCGTTTCAAAATTTGAGCGGGGCTTTGGGGCTCGGTGGCCGTTGGAAGTGCCCCTTTGGGCGATCCACTCACCGAGTCCAGCTCTTCGAGTTCGGAGCCCGAGTCTTCTTCGCCCCTTGCCACCTCGCGGTCGATTATGAAGCTCCGCAGGTCGGTGAGGAGGTTCTTGTCGCCGGCTCGCTCCTTCAACAGCTGCAGGACGTCGAGTCGCAGCTTCTCTTCTTCTTGGTCGTGGTGGGCCCTTTTCCCTTTTTCGATCTCCCCCTTTTCTTCCATCGCGGTGGCTTTGGGGGTGGTTGAGGTTCCTGCTTTCCCTGGTGAGTCCGATGGGTTGCCTTCCCGTTGCTTCGGGGGTGTCGCCATCCTGCAGGTGGGTATGGGTTCTTGTCTTGTGTCTCGGGATCTCTGGGCCTTACCAACCATCCTCTGCTACCAATTTGTTACAAGGTTGGTGGATCAGGCCCAATGAAGAGACTTGAGTCATTATATAAAATATCTTTCTTTTATTTGCAGGTTCATCATATCATCATTTGGTTACATCAAGATCTGGGGAACATGGAGGAGTGTGCCCACCTTTTATACCTGTGGGCGGGGAATCAGGTAAGGAGGAGTCTATGGGAGGAGCTGACCAGGTGGGTGTCTGGGTTAACCCTTTCATTACTGAGCTATAGCTGATCCCTGGTATAGTCAGAGCATTTACACCTGACAACTTCTGATCCAGATTCATGTTTCCTTTATCTGACTGTTATCCTGCTAGTGGTTCTTCCTCCTGTCCCTCCAGACCACTTCCTTGGCCCTCTGCAGTTGGATTACTGTAAATCACTCTGGCTGGGACTGCCCTTTAAGTCTATTTTTACTTTACTTTACTTTACTTTTATTATATTTATATACCACCCTTCTCCCGAAGGACTCAGGGCGGTGAACAGCCATGATAAAAACAGAATTCAAGACAAAAAATTTAAAAACTTATTAAAATAATTCAATCACTGGCCAAATTTTAAAACACCCAACTAAAATCGTTATTTAAAACCCCTATCAAAACCCAATTAAAATCCTTTATCCTGTCAGACCGGCTTGCTGGCATAATAGGGTCTTCAGAGCACGACGGAAGGCGCGGAGGTCAGGGATCCTTCATATGTCCGGGGGCAATTCATTCCATAGGGCCGGGGCCCCCACAGAGAAGGCTCTCCCCTTGGGGGTCACCAGCCTACATTGTTTGGCCAGCGGCACCCTGAGGAGGCCCTCTCTGTGGGAGCGTACTGGTCGGTGGGAGGCAATCGGTGGCAGAATGTGGTCCTGTAGATAACCAGGTCCTAAGCCATGGAGCACTTTAAAGGTGATAACCAACACCTTGAAATGCACCCGGAAGACCACCGGGTAGATACCATCTTAGATATTACCATCCAGATATTTCTCATCTGCACTGCTCCAGTGGGATGGGCAGATCACAAATTTCTGATCTGTGAGTTGCACTGATTCCCATTTCAAAGGTTATCAGCTATTGTGGCCCAATCTATGATAGGACCGGTTTACTTGTTTTACTTCATTGTTTCTGTCTCTTAATACCTGTCAAATCTGGCCATGCAGGCCTGCTCCAGAATGGGATAGCAATAGCAAAAGCACTTCAACTTATATACCACTTTACAGTGCTTTGCAGCCCTCTCTAAGCAGTTTACAGACTCAGCATATTGCCCCCAACAATCTAGGAAGGGAGATTGGAGGTCTTCCAATCCAACCATCTGTTCAAGTAGGAGACCATATAACGTTTCAGACAAATTCCTTGTGTGTCCAATCACACTTGGCCAATAAAAATTCTGTTTCATTCTATTCTATTCTAAATGGCTGTGCCATCTCTTCTTAAAAGCCTCCAGTGGTAGAAGTACTTCTGAAGGCAAGTCATTCCACTGATTAATTGTTCTCACTTTCAAGAAATTTCTCTTTAGTTCTAGATGATTCTCCTGGATTAGTTTCCATCCCTTGCTTCTTGTCCTGTCTTCAGGTGCTCCCTCTTCTTTGTGGCAGCCCCTAAGATATTGGAACACATCTATCATTTATTTTATGTATTTATTTAGTTAGTTTGTCAAACATGTATGAGATAACAGGTATAAGTATAAACATGAGCACATGAAATGAATACAAATAAATGGGGACAGTAGGACAGGGTTGGTAGGCATGCTGGTGCACTTATGCACACCCCCTTACAGACCTCTTAGCAATGGTGTGAGGTCCAAGGTAGGCAGTTTAAAGTTAAAGTTTGGGGGGTTTGAGGATGTAACACAGAGTCAGGTAGTGCATTCCAAGCATTGACCACTCTGTTGCTGAAGTCGTAACTTCTGCAATCGAGTTTGGAGCGGTTTACCTTGAGTTTGTATCTTATGTAGCTAAGATTAGAGCAACATCTGAGAGCTGTGGCTAGGGGGACCTTTGCACAGGTTCGCCTGGTGCACCAATTGTGACCCTACTTGGATCAGGAGGCATTCCTCACAGTCACTCATGCCCTTGTCACCTCACGGTTAAATTATTGCAACGTGCTTTACATGGGGCTACCCTTGAAAAGTGTTCGGAGACTACAGTTGGTCCAGAATGCAGCTGCATGAGCTGTCGTGCGTGCACCTAGATACACCCATATTACACCAATTCTCCGCGAGCTGCGCTGGCTCCCTATTGGTCTCCGGTCACAATTCAAAGTGTTGGTTATTACCTTTAAAGCCCTACATGGCTCAGGGCCAGGTTATCTTTGAGACCGTCTTCTGCCGCATAGCTCCCAGCAACCAGTAAGATCCCACAGAGTTGGTCCCCTCCGGGTCCCGTTAGCTAAACAATGCCTGCTGGTGGGCCCGCGGGGGAGGGCCTTCTCTGTGGCTGCCTCAGCTCTCTGGAACCAGTTACCTCCTGAGTTCCGGACCACCCCCACCCTATTGGCCTTCCGAAAAGCGGTGAAGACCTGGCTTTTCTGGCAGGCCTGGGGCCGTTGATCTCGCTCTTGTGATCTGGTGAGATCCGGCCATGAACGGCGTGAATGAGTTTTTAATATTTTTAATGTTTTTAATTTTTAAATGTTTTTTTATAATGATTTTTTAAAATGTATTGTGAGCCTCCCTGAGTCTTCGGAGAGGGGCGGCATATAAATTGAATTAATTAAATTAAATTAATTAAATTAAATTATTGTTTGCCCTTGTATTATTGCAGTTGAAGCTGAAGTAGTAGTAACATCATGTCACCCCTAGTCCTTTTCACTAGACTAGACATTTCCAATTCCTACTTGATCATGAGTTTGGACTAGATGACCTCCAAGGTCCCTTCCAACTCTATTATTCTGTTATTCATTAGATAATGTTTCTTCCATAGGTACCTGACTTACATTTTAATTGTTAAGTTGAAAACTTCATGGCATTTTAATGAAAATGACAAAACCTATGAATTTAATGCTAGATATATGTAAGTCATTTATTCAAAGTATATTTATCTACAAGTGCCCAGTCTGAATGAAGAGAAAGCAGCTCTGCAGACCTTATGCTGAGAATTATTTATTTTTATTTATTTACTTGTATTTCTAACTTCTTCTACCAACCGAGCAGTTCGAAAGCACGTAAAAAATGCAAGTAGAAAAATAGGGACCACCTGTTGTGGTCCGCCAGCAGCTTGTGGAGCTGGCAGCGGAGTCAGACAGTGAGGAGGCTAGGGAGGACAATGGGCTAGTCCTGGAGCCAGGGGAAGGCCCGGACGAGGGCTCTGCATTGGAGACAGAGAGGGGGCCAAGGCCATCTGGGAGTGGTGTGTGGACTCTGGATAGGAGAGAGGCAGAGGAACAAGAGGAGCCTGTTCCTAGGCATGCATGCAAAGAGCTGCCAGAAGGCAAGAGCAGCTAAAGCAAAAAGGACGACCCAGGAGTAAGGCCAGGAGATGATTGGTCCTTCCCAGAAGGCTTAATGGGTCTTGGGATCTTTGTAGGAAAGCAACGTTTCTACATGTGTTTCTTGTCAGCATCTCTTGCTTCTGAACTTCATGGGGTTTTACCAAGAAAAGTCTTTGGCAGGGTGTCAAAGAAGACAAAGGTTGGTGATAAGGCCGAAGGACTGTTTATGAAGAATTTGTTTTGGAATTAATTTGGACTAAGCTGAGAATGAAGTAATTCTTAGCTGTTATAATAAAATATGTTTGTTTAGGACTGATTGTGTCTGGTAATAACTACTTGGGCCTAGTCACAACACCACCTTTGGTGGGAGGGTAACAGTGTTCCGTGTGCCTTTGGCATTTAGTCTAACTTTATTATTAATTTGACAGGTAACTCAAGTTGATGAACAAACCCAACATACCTTTGTCCTCCTAGTTTCCCCACAAACAACAATTCAACTGAACAACCTCATTCCCAATCATGTGAAAATGTTTGCATAAGTTTGCAGTCCCCAAGAAAAGACCATGTCCTTATAATATGGAGATGATGCAAATGAATTCAACTGCCTCATCTTCTTAAAAACAGTTCTTACAAACATGCCTCTCCAGAGCCAATCACCAAGTAGCCTCAAGAAAATACAACAGAATGGTAGACATGCTTCTTTGGACCTTCCTCCTGTTCCTTATCCATCTTTCAGGTAGATCTTTTCTCATAACCATAAGCATAAATGTTCCTCATCAGGTTTCCTCCTGATTCAGAACATTTAATTCAACTATATATGCTAGTTTTGTGGCCGCTCAAGAAATAGTCAGGCACAGGAAGGGTTTTGTGGCTCCTGGTGTTTTCTTTTCTGTGGGAAATGGGTCCAAATGGCTCTTTGAGTGTTTAAGGTTGCAGACCCCTGGATTAGGCAGAAATCCAGAAAAGGACTGGACTGGCTTGTTCATTATGGCTCTTCCAACGACTCTTACTCTCCAGCAATCCAAGAATAATTTATCACCTCCAAGGACAGTTTCAACTTCTGCCTGCAAATGGATAAAAAGCCAAAGACACACCAGTTTATTATTGTGCAGGAGACACATTGAAAGAAACTTTATTCAACTGTCTACAAACAATCTTCACTATTTTGATAAATTTTCTCAAGAGAGGGCACTAGAGAATTACTAAATGAATTATCTGGCATTTGGAAGAAACCTCACCAAAGAGAGGTTAAAAATAAAAAAAACTTATTAATAATTAGTTATTATGGTTTTCGGTTAGTGACCTCCAATTAGCCTGCTGTGATTTCTTGAAGGGCCTTCCTTCTCCAGTAGAAGGAAGATCTTTCAAGACATTTCATTTTCCAGTAGAAGATGGTACAGTATTCATTCAAAATGTATTCCTTTTCTTCTTCATCTTGAAACAGAATAACAGAATAATAGAGTTGGAAGGGACCTTGGAGGTCTTCTAGTCCAACCCCCTGCTGAGGCCCACTGCCACACCAACCCCATTATATCAATTCAGACAAATGGTTGTCTAAACCTCTCCTTAAAAACCAGTGATGGAGCACTCACAACTTCAGAAGGCAAGTCATTCCATCTCTGGATTTTATTCAGGGATGGGCTGCTGGGGGTTTGCAGGGGTTTGGGAGAACCTCTAGCTAAGATTCTGTGCAGTTCGGAGAACCCCAAATCCCAATCCTGGCTGGCCCTTCCCACCCACCCCATGCCACCCCTCCCAGGAGTCCCCATGCAGCCCGTTTTGGATGCACGTAAGTGCTGAGTGGAGGCTCGGGGAGGGCAAAAAACGGGCCTACCGGATGTTTGGGAAGGCTGGAAACGGGCCATTTCTGGCCTCCAGAGGGCCTCCGGAGCCTGGGGAGGGCATTTTTGCCATCCTGGAAGCTCAAGAAAAGCCTCCGGAGCCCAGGAGGGCAAAAACGCCACCTGGGAGCAGGAGGCAGACTAGGCCACATCCACCCAGCCTATGAAATAAAATCAGTGAGGCAGAGAGGTGTAAGATTAAAAAGACAAACCAAATCCCTGAAACAGTAAAAGATTATTCACCAGCACTTAATAAACAACTTTTGCTTATTAAACTCTGGGTGGACTGCTGTGGCTTCTGTGGTCATAAGATCTAGAATCTCTCTATATAAAAGCCAAATATCACTCAATCATCACAAAATCTCCAGAACTATAAAGCCTACAAACTTGAAATTTGGCACATATGTTCCGCTTGGCTTCTAGGTACTTGCTAAGAAAGGATTTTCCAAAATGACCATCAGATCATTAGTATTTCATATACAGTATTATATCCATATTCTCTGATGCTAGACATTCTATTCTCCTCCCCACCTGAAAATAATTCTGTTTCATCTTCCAGTTGCCTTATATTAACACACTCTGTTGCTACCGCTTCACTAAACCAGGCGTGGGCGTGGCCAGTGCATGACTCATCCGGCCTGTGGGCTGGGACATTCCACTCCCCCTCCCTCTCTGTTCCAACTGCCAGTTGCCTTATATTAACATGCTCTGATGCTACGGTGTTACACATTCTACATTATGTTTCAGGCTTTAAGTGTCAATTTATCACACCCAATCACATAGTTTCGTAGCGAAGCACGGGCGTCCAGCTAGTTCTTTATAAAACCTGAAACCATTCTCATTGTAACTGTTGCTTTACGGAATCCTCAATTTTGGCATCTTAGTGGTTGTTCCTCTCCCTGGTTTTCTCTTCATAATGATGAGTGTTTTTCTATCTTTTCATTCATGCTGAAATACCATAGATGGGGACAACAGGAAAATGGTCTGCATCCAAACGCAACTGAGGCTGGATAGGAGAAAACTGAACAGTGTGGGCAGAATTTGAAGAAGACAAATGGAAACAATCTGTTCCTCATGGGAGATTCCCAGTAAGAAAGTTCATACATCCACACTGTATATCTATATCTATATATATATAAAAGCAAAAACCACTCATGCCGTAATCAAGAAATCTCCAGAACCGTAAAGCCTACAAACTTGAAATTTGGCACGTATGTTCCTCTTGGCTTCTAGGTGCTAACTAAGAAAGGATTTTTCAAAATGACCATCAGAGCCTTAGTAATTCCTATATTATTATAACATGCTCTGATGCTAATTAGTTGGACAATCTACTCCCCCTCCCAACTTGAAAATAAATCTGGAGAGAATGGAATAGCATAGGACAAATTTATGTGGGGCAAGCCTCATGGAGGGAAGGGTCTAGAAAGCCTGAGGGAGAGAAGGGGATAGGATAGAAGAGGCTTCTGTGGGGCAAGCCTGAGGGAGAGAAGGGGATAGGATAGGGGAGGATTCTGTGGGTAAGGCTGAGGGAGAGAAGGGGATAGGATAGGGGAGGATTCTGTGGGGTAAGGCTGAGGGAGAGAAGGGGATAGGATAGGGGAGGATTCTGTGGGGTAAGGCTGAGGGAGAGAAGGGGATAGGATAGGGGAGGATTCTATGGGGCAAGCCTGAGGGACAGAAGGGGATAGGATAGGGGAGGATTCTGTGGGGTAAGGCTGAAGGAGAGAAGGGGATAGGATAGGGGAGGATTCTGTGGGGTAAGGCTGAGGGAGAGAAGGGGATAGGATAGGGGAGGATTCTGTGGGGTAAGGCTGAGGGAGAGAAGGGATAGGATAGGGGAGGATTCTGTGGGGTAAGGCTGAGGGAGAGAAGGGGATAGGATAGGGAGGATTCTGTGGGGCAAGCCTGAGGGACAGAAGGGGATAGGATAGGGGAGGATTCTGTGGGGTAAGGCTGAGGGAGAGAAGGGGATAGGATAGGGGAGGATTCTGTGGGGCAAGCCTGAGGGACAGAAGGGGATAGGATAGGGGAGGATTCTGTGGGGTAAGGCTGAGGGACAGAAGGGGATAGGATAGGGGAGGATTCTGTGGGGTAAGGCTGAGGGAGAAAGGGGATAGGATAGGAGATGTATCTGTGTGGCAAGGCTGAGGGAGAGAAGGGGATAGGATAGGGGAGGATTCTGTGGGGTAAGGCTGAGGGAGAGAAGGGGATAGGATAGGGGAGGATTCTGTGGGGCAAGCCTGAGGGACAGAAGGGGATAGGATAGGGGAGGATTCTGTGGGGTAAGGCTGAGGGACAGAAGGGGATAGGATAGGGGAGGATTCTGTGGGGTAAGGCTGAGGGAGAGAAGGGGATAGGATAGGAGATGTATCTGTGTGGCAAGGCTGAGGGAGAGAAGGGGAGAGGAGAGGCCAATCATAAATACTCATTAATTTTCAAGCTGTAAGTGTCTATTTATCAAACCCGATCACATAGTTTCGTAGCGAAGCATGGGTATCTAGCTAGTGTTGTATATAAAACGCTATATGAAAACAGCTTGAACAAAGCTCAACAATTCCAGACACTTTTAAATAAGGATAGGAAAGTATTTTGTGTCCATAAATGGATGATAAACTGGGTTATGACTAGATTCATCACATGTGCCTGAAAGTTGTTATCAGACCCTGGCTTGCTTTCTCAGGACTATGAAATAAAAGAGGGAAGTGTCATTTCTTCTGAGATGGAGACCCCCAGAGAAACCCAGAGCTGTTCCCTATATTATCAGGCTGGCATTCATGTAATGAAAAAGTGGATAGTTGAATATAAAGAACATTATATTCTAATTACTGTACATTCCAAAGGACATAACACTATAGTTTAAGAGCAAATGGAAACCCCAAAAAAATTTGGAAAAAAAAAAAATGAATGATTCCATCAGATGTGTAAACATCTCTTTGCAAAGCAGATTAGCTTAGATATTTTAGTACTCATGGAGATTCATCTTGTATTTGTACAATTCCCATCTGGGCTTATGCAAAACCGGCAAAGCTTTCACTTCTCATTTAAACCATCACAACTTCTCATCTCACATAAACTGACAGGCTCACCTCACAGAAGCCTTCAAATATCCAGCTATTCTTCCACTATGGTGTCCTTCTCTTCAGTTTTCCTCAGACTGGTTATCTTCTGTTCTCGTGCATTTCTTTCTCCATTTCATTCTTTGTGGCACTCCAGGGAAGCTGCCTTCCTCAGCCATGGCTGTGATGTCCTAACCCTCCCCCAATTCTGTTGTTTCTTCTCTGTTTAGGTGCCCTCTCTCAGAAAGTTCTGACCCAGTCAGATCCGGCACTGAAGAAACCAGGAAAAGCTCATAAACTGACTTGCGCTGTCGCTGGATTCAACATTCACACCTATGGGATGGATTGGTCAGACAGAAACCTGGTCAAAGACTGGAGTGGATAGTTTACCATCACACGTCTAGTAGCAACTCTTATTCTCCCACAGTCCAAGGAAGGTTTACTACCTACAAAGACGGTTCCAACTTCTATCTGCAAATGAACAGCCTTAAAGTAGAGGACACAGCCATCTATTTCTGTGCTGGGGAAGCACAATGAAAGGAGTCCTTTGAGATCTCATGCAAAATCTCTTTACTGTATTAATAAAGTGTGCCTGAAGGGGTCACCAGAGAACCACTAAAAGATTGCTTCACACTTGGAAGTGAATCACCAAGAGTTAATGGAATAGCTAATCAAAAGAAAACTATCAAGAATAAATATTACAGTGCACATTTAATGTGAATCAACAGTATTTCCTTATTGACCTCTGATTAGCCTGCTGTGGTTTTTCCTTCCTAATGCAAAATGTCATTTCATCTTTGTGTTCATCTCTTCCATTTGTGCTTCCATCTCATTTAACCTGTCTTTGAATTCTCCTCCCTCCTTCCCCAATCTATGGAAAACTTTTTTTTAATTAAGTTTTTTTAATTTTTCCCAATATACATGTTTTGTGGACAGTACATTGATTGGCTCAAGTCTTTTTTATACAACATTAACAATAGTAATACAAATAATATATAGAATTATAATCAAACAGTAGTAATCTCATTTCATATCCCTTTAATTCATTTGAGCATAAATAACATTTCTTCGCACTCTGTGTTTATTATCCTTTAGTAAATATTGTCATTCAATGTTTTAAAAATCACTCATTATTCCACCATAACATCAATATTCCAAATGTATAGGATTACAAATAACACCAATTATTAACAATATTCAATACATCATGAGAATATATCTCAAAATCTCCACCATTTCTAAACCTTAATATTTTAAATTCACAATATCTTTTAACACTCTTTTAATATTAGTACTTCAGTTAAATTGTCTAGTCTTAAATTACCATCTACTAACCTAAAATTTATTTCAAATTGTATACATTTCTGCTGTCAGGCTTACATCTGTGTGTTCATCTGATTTGATATGTCTTTGAATTCTCCTCCTTCCTTCCCCAATCTATGGAGAAGTTTGATTAGAACTATTTCATTGTGTGCCCATCATTCTTGTGTCCCAATGACTTCAATCTTGGATGGACACCGTGAAAATTCCAGAGTTGTACTTTACATTGCCTAGCTTGAAAAACATTTCAGTGGAAGAGATTGCCAAGCCACTTCCTTAGTACTGCCTAAAAACCTGCAGGATTGTGTCTATGCAATTAAAGTCTGATGGAGATTTCTGTGTGAAGTGATTCAATAAGACCTCAAAATGAATTAGTGGTCTTTCTAAGTTCAGGATTAGAAATCTTGGTGACTATGTAAAAAGAAGCTACCTAATTTAATACAGAGAACATAAGCCCAAGCATCCATATCTTCGATCCTAAGGAACACGTTCTAAAATACATTACACTACAATTAAATAAGAAATGAAGCCCCAATCTTGTCTCCCAATGACTTCTTTCTTGGATGGAGACCATGAGAATTCCAGAGTTGTACTCTACATGGCCAGGCTTAAAAATCTCTAAGGCGAAGGCAGTGGTAAGCCGCTTCCTGAGTATTGCCTGATAAACTTCAGGGTTGTGTCTATGCAATCATTGAAGAGTTAAAGTGAGCTGTAAATTTCTGTGTGCAGTGATTCAATAAAACCATGAAATAAATTGGTGGTTTTTCAGGTATGTGCTCAGGATTAGAAATCTTGGTGACTATGTAAAAACAAGCTAGCTAGTTTAAGATAGAGAATATACTGTAAGTCCAAGCATGCATATCTTGAATCTTAAGGGAACACATCCTAAAATACATTTACAATTAAATAAGAAATGAAACACCAAGTACAATTTACACAGGAAAATAATCTGGACAGAGGTGTTAAAATAGTGCAATGCTTTCAATTGCAGAAGAATTCGTTTATATTGTGCAAGACACCCTAATATTCATCTCGTATTTATACAGTCTCCAACATGATTTATGCAAACTGGACATCACTTTCACTTCTCATTTAAACCCTCAAAGCTCCCCACCACAAACAGACAGACAGATTCACCTCACAGAAGCCCTCAGAGAAAGAGCTGTTCTTCCACTATGCCATCCTTCCTTCCAGTTCTCCTCGCATTGTTTGCCTTTTCTTCCCGTGGGTTCATTTTGCTATTTGATTCTATTACTTTTATTCCTTCGTTGAAGTGAAGTTTCAATTCTTAAAACAATGGTTGTGATGTCCTAACTCTCATCCAATTCTGTTGTTTTTTCTTTCTTTAGGAGGCTTCTCCCAGGTAGTCCTGACCCAGTCAGATCCAGTGCTGAAGAAACCAGGAGAAGCTCATAAACTGACTTGTGCTGTCACTGGATTTGATGTTAACAGCTACTGGATGGGTTGGATCAGACAGAAACCCGGCCAAGGACTGGAATGGCTTGTTTTCTATTATTCATCTAGTAGCAACTATTATTCACCCACAATCCAAGGGCACTTTATTGCCTTCAAGGACAGTCCCAACCTCTATCTGCAAATGAACGACCTCAAAGTTGAAGACACGGCTGTGTATTATTGTGCAAGAGACACAGTGAAAGGAGTCCTAGGAGAACTCATACAAAAACTCCTCCTTCAATGAGTGAAATATATTGAAACAGGATGCCAGAGGACCAGTCAATCGTTTGTCAAGCCTGTGAAACAAAATCAGCCAGGCAGAGAGGAGTGGGATAAATAGGCAAAAGAAAAACATAAGAGAGAGATTATTCACCCTGACTTCATATGGTTGAACAACTTCTGCTTATGAGGCTCCAGCTGGACTGCTGTTGTTTTCAGCAGGATTTTTCTTCTTCAGATGCAAAACAACATTACAATACATGTTCCTTTTTCTCTTCATGATTCTATCTCACAGTGCACATGTGTCTTTTTCCATGTGGTGTTATCAGTCATTAAACATTTGGAGTTATGGAATCTTTTGTTTCTCACGGTTTCCCACATACCAAGTTGTAGTTCTCAAAATTGTGATGAACAATTATGAGTTATACCGAAATACCGAAATGAAGAAATTGTATTTTCCCCTGTGTTTCCTATGTGGAATGATGATGGTGTTCTATATATTTTTTTCAACAACTGTAATAATTAAATATTGATCTAATTTGAGAATTCCAGAGTTGTACATTACATTGCCAAGCTTAAAAGCATCTAAGGGGAAGGGAATGGCAATCCGCTTCCTTAGTATTGACTAATAACCTGCAGGGTTGTGTCTATGCAATCATTGAAGAGTTAAAGTCAGCTGTAAATTTCTGCGTGCAGTGATTCAATAAAACCTTGAAACAAATTGGTGGTTTTTTCAGGTAAGTGTTCAGGATTAGAAATCTTTGTAACTATGTAAAAAGAAGCTAGCTACTTTAGGATAGAGAACATAAGACCAAGCAACCGTATCTTGCATCCCAAGGGAAAACATTCTAAAATACAATTAAATAAGTAATGAAGAATGAAGCACAATTTAGAGAAGAAAATAATCTGGACGGATATGTGAAAATAGTGCAATGCTTCCAATTGCAGAAGAGATTATGGTATGTAGTTCAAGACACCCTGATATTCATCTCATATTTATACAGTCTCCAACATGATTTATGCAAACTGGACATCACTTTCACTTCTCATTTAAACCCTCAAAGCTCCCCACCACAAACAGACAGACAGATTCACCACACAGAAGCCCTCAGAGAAATAACCGTTCATCCACTATGTCGTCCTTCCTTCCAGTTCTCCTCACATTGGCTTCCTTATCTTCCCGTGGGTTCATTTTGTCATTTTATTCTTTCATTTTATTGCTTCATTGAAGTGAAGTTTCAATTCTTAAAACAATGGCTGTGATGTCCTAACTCTCATCCAATTCTGTTGTTTTTTCTTTGTTTAGGAGGCTTCTCCCAGGTAGTCCTGACCCAGTCAGATCCAGTGCTGAAGGAACCAGGAGAAGCTCATAAACTGACTTGTGCTGTCACTGGATTTAATGTCAACAGCTACTGGATGGGTTGGGTCAGACAGAAACCTGGCCAAGGACTGGAATGGCTTGTTTACTATTATGATTCTAGTAACAAATATTATTCACCCACAATCCAAGGGCGCTTTACTGCCTCCAAGGACAGCTCCAACCTCTTTCTGCAAATGAACGACCTCAAAGCTGAAGACACGGCTGTGTATTATTGTGCAAGAGACACAGTGAAAAGAGTCCAAGGAGAACTCATGCAAAAACTCTTCCTTGAATGACTAAAATATATTGAAACAGAGAACCAATGATTTCTGTAGCCTATGAAACAAAATCAGCCAGGCAGAGAGGAGTGAGATAAATAGGCAAAAAGAAAACATGAGACAGACAGATATTATTCACCCTGACTTAATATGCCTGAACAACTTTGAATTATTAGGCTCTAGTTAAACTGCTGTGGTTTTCAGCAGGATTTTTCTTCTTCAGATGCAAAAAGGCATCACAATACATGTTCCTTTTCCTCCTTATGCTTCCATCTCACAGTACACACATGTCTTCTTCCATGTGAAGTGTTATCACTCATGAAACATTTGGAGTTATAGAATCTTTTGTATCTCACCATTTCTCACATACCACGTTGTATTTCTCAAATTGTATGCACAAGTATGAATTGTAAATATTATAAAACAGGATAGAATTCTCGCTGTAACCATGCATTTAGGATAAATGTTTTCTTTCAATACTCAGTTTTGTCCCTACTTTCTTTTCACAACAATTTTTTTCTCCATCTTCTCATTCATGTTAATGTTTCGTAGATGGGTGAAGGGAAGGTTATTGCTTTTTTATTGTTTTTATATTCTGTTTTTCTCCTTCTAAGCTCCCCCAGCATCACTGAGAGTGAGCTGGGCAGCAATATAAATTTAACTAATTAAGAAAAAATAAAATAGATGGATGTTTTTGAATTCCACTCCTTCCTTCCCCAATCTATGGTAAACTTTAATGATAACTATTTCTTTATGTGCCTTTCCATAAATCTTGTCTCCCAATGACTTCAATCCTGGATGGAGACCATGAGAATTTCAGAGTTGTATTCTACATTGCCTAGCTGAAAAACATATAAGGGGAAGGGAATGTCAAAATACTTCCTTAGTATTGCCCAATAACGTGCAGGTTTCTGTCTATACAATCATTTAAGAGTTAAAGTCAGTTGTAGATTTCTGTGTTCAGTGATTCAATAAAACTATTAAATGAATTGGTGGTTTTTTAGATATGTGTTCAGGATTAGAAATATTGGTGACTATGTTAAAAAAAAAAGCTAGCTTTTTTTTAAGATAGAGAACATAACATAAGACCAAGATACATATCTTGGATCCTAAGGGAAGAGATTCTAAAATACATTAGAATAGAATAGAATAGAATAGAATAGAATAGAATAGAATAGAATAGAATAGAATAGAATAGAATAGAATAGAATAGACAGAGATAAATGTGGTATTGAAACGAAATATGGATATTTTGATAAAATTATTTGGGGAACGGATAAGAAAATGCTATCGAAAATCTACAATTTTCTATTAGATGAGGATAGAGCAGAGACCATAGCAAAAAATCAGTTAAGCATTTGGGAAAAAAACTTAGGATACAGCCTTAATTTCAATGATTGGGAGATAGCTTGGAACAGGAACTATAAATTAACGAAATCGGCAACATTCAGAGAAAATCACTACAAAATGTTGCATAGGTGGTACCTAGCCCCGGACAGGCTGGCGAAAATATTCCCAAATCTCTCTGCTACATGTTGCAAATGTGGAAAAATGGTCAGCACCTTCTATCATCTTTGGTGGACTTGTCCTGAGACCAAAAAGTTTTGGTTAAAGATTTGACTCTGGCTCTCTGAAATAACGGGACAGGAGATAGTCCTGGCCCCGGAATCCTTTCTCTTAGGTATGACTGAAGATGGTCTCAACAATAACAAAACCCAACTTGTAATTCAAATCACAAACGCGGCTAGACTAGCTTTTGCGAAACTCTGGAAAAATAAATCTACGCCCTCAGAGGAAATATTAATAAATAAAATTCTAGAGTGTGCAGAAATGGCAAAATTGACGAGCGAGTTAATAAATGAGGAGAATTCTAAATATTATGAAGTATGGGGAAACTGGTATAACTGGTTGAAGAACAAGATAAAAGTAAGATAATAGGTTATGACTTGTTAGGCACTAGAATTGGACTTAATTGTATAGAATTGTATAGATTTGTATATTATATTGTATAATTATGGATGGAATCCATCCAACGTTTGATTCACCAATTGTGTAAACACTGTACCTCGGATCAAGATAGAGATTGTATATTATCTTTTTAATTCTGGAAAATTCAATAAAGTATTTTTAAAAAAAAGAATAGAATAGAATGGAATAGAATAGAATAGAATAGAATAGAATAGAATAGAATAGAATAGAATAGAATAGAATAGAATAGAATTCTTTATTGGCCAAGTGTGATTGGACACACAGGGAATTTGTCTTGGTGGATACGCTCTCAGAGTACATAAAAGAAAAGATACATTTATCAAGAATAGGGGTGGGCAATTTTGGCCCTTTTATAACCTGTGGACTTCAACTCCCAGAATTCCTGAGGCAGCTGTCTTAGGAATTCTGGGAGTTGAAGTCCACAGGTTGTAAAAGGGCCACAGTTGCCCACCTCTGGCAAGAATCATAAGGTACAACACTTAATGATAGTCATAGGGAAACAGTCAATATAAATCTTAAGGATACCACCAACAAGGTTACAGACATACAGTCATAAGTGGGAGGAGATGGGTGATAGGAGCAATGAGAAGATTAATAGTCATAGTAATGCAGACTTAGTGAATAGATTGACAGTGTTGAGGGAATTATTTGTTTAGCAGAGTGATGGCATTTGGGGAAAAACTGTTCTGGTGTTTAGTTGTTCTGGTGTGCAGTGCTCTATAGCGTCGCTTTTAGGGTATTATGCTTTTTTAAGGGTTTCATTTTTAGGGTATTATGCTACAATTAAAAAAGCAATGAAACACAAAGTACAATTTATACAAGAAAAGGATCTGAACAGATGTTAAAATAGTGCAATGCTCCCATTTGCAGAACAGAACAGTGTATAAAGTTCAAGACACCTGATAACCATCTCATATTTATACAGTTTCCAACGAGATTTATGCAAACTTGACATCACTTTCACCTCTCATTTAAACCCGCAAAGCTCCCCACCACAAACAGACAGACAGATTCACCTCACAGAAGCCCCCAGAGAAAGAGCTGTTCTTCCACTATGCCATCCTTCCTTCCAGTTCTATTCACATTGGCTGTCTTTTCTTCCCGTGGGTTTATTTTGCCATTTTATTCTAATACTTTATTGCTTTCTTGATGTGAAGTTTCAATTCTTAAAACAATGAGAGACGTACTAACTCTCATCCAATTCTGTTGTTTTTCTTTGTTTAGGAGGCTTCTCCCAGATAGTCCTGACCCAGTCAGATCCAGTGCTGAAGGAACCAGGAGAAGCTCATAAACTGACTTGTGCTGTCACTGGATTTAATGTTAACAGCAACTGGATGAATTGGATCAGACAGAAACCTGGCCAAGGATTGGAGTGGCTTGTTTACTATTACGATTCTAGTAGAAAGTATTATTCGCCCACAATCCAAGGGCGCTTTACTGCCTCCAAAGATAGTTCAAACTTCTATCTGCAAATGAACAACCTCAAAGCTGAAGACACGGCTGTGTATTATTGTGCAAGACACACAGTGAAAAGAGTCCTAGGAGAACTCATGCAAAAACTCTTCCTTGAATGACTGACATATATTGAGACAGGATGCCAGAGGACCACTCAATCGTTTGTCTAGCCTATGAAACAAAATGAGCCAGGCAGAGAGGAGTGCAATAAATAGGCAAAAGAAAAACACAAGACAGACAAAGGTTATTCACTCTGACTTAACATGGTTGAACAACTTTTGCTTATTAGGCTCCAGTTGGACTGCTGTGATTTTCAGCAGGAGTTTTCTTCTTCAGATGCAAAACAACATTACATACATTTCCTTTTCCTCCTTTATGCTTCTGTCTCACAGTACACATGTGTCTTATTTCATGTGAAGTGTTATCACTCATTAAACATTTGGATTTATGGAATCTTTTGTTATCGCCATTTCTCACATACCAAGTTGTATTTCTCAAAATTGTGATGCACAATTATGAATTATACCCAAACTCATGTAGTTGTAAAATCTTGATTTCTTTATTATAAAACATGGAAGAATTCTCACTCTAACCATTCATTTAGGACAAATACTTTCTTTAAATGTTCAGTTTTATACTATTAGTGGTTGAACGTCTAGTCTACTTTCTTTTCACAATTCTCTTTTTTTCTATGTTCTCATTAATGCAGAAATATCAACATTCACACTTACGGGATGGATTGGGTCAGACAGAAACCCAGTCAAAGACTGGAGTGGATAGTTTACCATCACACGTGTAGTAGCAACTTTTATTCTCCCACAATCCAAGGAAGTTTTACTACCTACAAAGACAGTTCCAACTTCTATCTGCAAATGAACAGCCTTAAAGTAGAGGACACAGCCATCTATTTCTGTGCTGGGGAAGCACAATGAAAGGAATCCTATGAGATCTCATGAAAAATCTCTTCACTGTATTAATAAAGTGTGCCTGAAGGGGTCACCAGAGAACCACTAAAAGATTGCTTCACACTTGGAAGTGAATCACCAAGAATTAATGAAATAGCTAATCAAAAGAAAACTATCAAGAATAAATATTAGAGTGCACATTTAATGTGAATCAACAGTGTTTCCTTATTGACCTCTGATTAGCCTGCTGTGGTTTTTCCTTCCTAATGCAAGATGTCATTTCAAATTTTGTTCATGTCTTCCATCTGTGCTTTCATCTCGTTTAACCTGTCTTTGAATTCTCCTCCCTCCTTCCCCAATCTATGGAAAACGTTTTTTTTAATTAAGTTTTTTTTCCCCAATATACATGTTTTGTGGACAGTACATTGATTGGGTCAGGTCTTTTTTATACAACATTAACAATAATAATACAAATAATATATAGAATTATAATCAAAGAGTAGTAGTCTCATTTCATATCCCTTTAATTCATTTAAGCATAAATAACATTTCTTCGCACTCTGTGTTTATTATCCTTTAGTAAATATTGTCATTCAATGTTTTAAAAATCACTCATTATTCCACCATAACATCAATATTCCAAATGTATAGGATTACAGATAACACCAA